TCATTTATTGGACGCCCTTTTTCACACCTGAGGTTTTTTTTATTAGATATCATGACTTTTGTCAATGCACACCAACAAACCACAGCAAGTAAGAAAGTGACACTCGATAATAACCAGCATTAGCCTTAGGATCGCAACCCTATTATTCGAAACAGACCTTTACTTTACAGAACCAACCATATTATTTAAAATATATGGTGGTAGTATTTCCTCTCTAAAACAGTATTAATAGCTTCCTTTATAGTAACCCCACGGAATTTAGATTAATAGTTCCTTGTCATCATCTCCACCCCCATGCAATCGGTACTGCTGTATCAAGCATCAGTATTTATACTAATTGCTTAAGCTAATATCACGTGACGCTAAACACTCTTTAATTAGGGTAATTTCACAAAATTAGTAAATTTGCGCTGAAAAGTAGGCAATGAATAATCTATAATGACCGTCTACTCGCATGATTCTTTTGAAAACTTGAGATAGAAACTGCTAATCTAGTTTGCTTGGCCTAACCAATATTTGGTTATCTGCACGTCTTTTCACCTTATAGTTTTGCTGCTCTAAATCAGCCGTCTTTAATACGAATGATAAAAGTCTAAAAACATTCCACTTTTACTCTTAAGTGAAGCTGTAGTAAAAACGTTAGACCAATAGCTCACTTGACATTTTGCGTAGGAGTGCGCAAAAAGTTTCGTCAAATTTGAGCGTTTTTTGTTGAATAACTTTGCACTTGTGGCTTATACTTACACCAAATCAGACTCCTAATTGTAGGTTGAAAAGATCTACCAGTGTACCAAATTGAAATAAATCCATAAAAGTTAAGTATTTTTTCTATCAAATAACGTTTCTGTACTTTTGGTGTGAAGAAGAAAAAAATAGGAAGAAACTCAATCAAAATTGGAGATGTTATATCTCAGAGATTTCTTAATGGATTACCTTGAAATCTGGTATGTGAAGTAAGAGTCCAGTAGAGCACATTCACTGAAATGTGTATTTTTCACGATGACATTTCTGCCTTCACATACTGACTGACCATCTTATTATTATCTACATAAACACACATTCACATTCATAGAATTCTCCATGTATTTGTATAGGAAAACTAGACTGATCATCTGATGTGCCAGGTCACTCATTGCTTGAGTCTTATACATGTGGAGATCTAGTTATATCATAATTAGTCTACATAATAATTGGTACAAGCAATAATATTTTCGACTTTCGATAGGGCTTCATGTTGGGTATCCACCATACGTAGTTGTCAAAGCTCATTTCTTTAATAGACTGGTCCTGCTCTAAATCCAAAACCAGTCACCGGGAACAAATATCTATGTGATGGTAGGATGAGGGATCCCAATCGAAGGGGGTGAACTTCAATGTTTTTCTAATAGGGCCAACTTTGGTCATCCGCCTCTGGTGACTCACCAAGAGAAATGTCAATTGAATAGGTGTGTGAGGTGTATCAAACATTAGACTGTCTTCCAACTGGCCAATTCATTCAACTGGAATTGAGCATTCATATCAGTGCTACGTGAAAGTCATTATGAGAAACTTTTCTTATTTCAGATGTAGACAGGAAATTATGCATTTAATGATGCTTTAAGCATAAACTTAGACAATAAATGACTGGAAGCGTCTAGGATTGTCCAATAAGTCGTGTATCACACCTTTGCGTAGTAATGCTGTAATAAAAATATGGATAAAACCACGTTGTGCACTTGAACCTGTTTATGCTGCTCGGACAGTATAAGCTGCTGGAGGTGGAGTGATAGTATGGGGCTGGGTCCTTTGCTTAATTTAGAAAGACACTTTAAAATCCAGAATGTACATAAATGTTGTTTCCAATACTTTATACCCACAATATTATATTTTCAAGATGATAATGCTACAATCTCCTTGTGCATATTGTCTGATTTTAGTTCATAAAACTGATTGGTGCTTGGGGCATTTTTCTTGGCTTGTACAATTACTGGATCTCAGTCAGAGTGAGCATCTTGGAATAACCTCGAGTATCGCATTCACCACCATAATTCACTGCCTATATTTGTGAACCAGCACAATCCTGGAGGAATGGACTTCAATCTAAAAAGGAATTTCGGCATCTTATGAAGTCTATGCCACACCACATCTGGACAGTTATCGCTGTGGAAGGTGGCGTAAACATGGTGTTAAATGGGAGTTCTAGCAAAGTGGCTATGAAATATATATTACCTTGTAATTGGAATTTGATTTTAAGAGAGAATTATTTGTACACACAAATAAAAAGTCACGAAAAATATTAATGCACAGTGTTTATCGTCAGTGTTATTTCGATTCTTTGCGACAGAGAATATCTTTCTTCACAAAATATTTCCTTCTGTCATCAGATTGTAAAGTTAAATTATTTACATTATAGCTACATTAAGTCGTTATTAAGAGTTAGCAAGTTAACATATATCTATATCTTCTGTTGAGAAAGTACTTTGAGTAATTATTTTATAGATTCAGATTGATAAAAGTTGTTGGGAATTTTTCTGTTAGTGTTGAGACTGCGTGGATTTCAACTCTCTGGTTTATATGTTCGAGAACGTTTTAAATAGGTTTTTACCTGGTAAAAAAAACCCAAAAATTTTGCTTGTTTGATATCAAAACCTGTTAAATACTTCCAAATCGTCTGTCACTGTATTCCCAAAACTTGATAAAGACAAGATAAATGTTCTGTTAATGTAAGTAAAGACCTGATGAAGACAAGCCAAAAAGTTTTGCATCCTAAAAGGTCAGAAAGTTGAAGCCTGAATAGTCTCAATACGACAAGAACCAGAAAGTACCTCATCCTCAGTGTATTTAAAAGTAAGCTAATGTTGTTGTTGTTTTTGTATTTTTAAGGGTTATCGAGAAGGTCAGTTATGTCCCATGCAATGGACTTCGAGTGTTGAAGCTAATTTTACTTCAGACTTGACCTCACCTTGGCTTCCTATTCATCCTGAGTTTTCTAGCCAAAATGTGGAAGAGTGCTCAGATGATGTTTCTTTAATAAGACAGTTAATAGCCACGCGGAAGAAATCCGCTTCCCTGTGGATGAAAGCGATTTACGACGGAAAGCGTGCTGTATGTGACGGAAGACCTTTCACTTACGTTGTTCATTCTGACGACGGTAAACTGATCACATTAGAGAGGTACTTCCCTACCGAAGAAAGATACGTCGTGGGTGTCAATTTCGGGATGAAATCACTGACTGCAGATTTTGCTCGATTCGTTTCTGAAGCGCATGTTTTAATTTCCATTGAGACAAATCTGCACAAGATAAAAATGTTGCACAAACCGTTGAATCTGCGAAATGTTTCTTTAAGTCCTGGTGACGCCTTACTCATAGAAACGCGTACTTAGTTAACGCATTTAAAAGATACTTATAAATATTCAGTAAAGTAACGCCCTCTTTAGTGTTCCACGTGAGGGAAACCTAACTTACTATTAAATATATATATATATATATATATATATATATATATATACTACAATTACTTTCGTGTTTATTAACAACGTACTAGTTAAATTATTACGGTTAATTCTAGGTTTTATTATATTCATATTTAGTTTTAATTTTAAACTTAAAT